ATGCTGGAAGATTAATTGGATCCTGTCTAAATTGGCCCTAGTATGTGTATGTATGAATGTAAGTGAGGGACCTTAAATTGTACACCCCTTGAGGGTTAGGGACTGATGTGAATGTACAATGTATATGTAAAGCGCTGCGTAAATTGATGGCGCTATATAAAGTACCTGAAATAAATATAAAAATAAATACATTTCCACAATCAGGTAGCATGTAAACTCAAGGGAGTGCTGCCATCATTTTATTGCAATCAGTACAATCAAAGCCGATCAATAACATAGGTTATTATACTTTGCATTTTTAAAGTACATTTGTGCCCAAACTATGGACATTAAAATAGTTTCATGTTCTCAGCAAGCAGTAGACAAGCTGAAAGGCACCTTCTCATTACACCCTTATAATAAAGTAAGCAAGTTTACATGAATTGGCTTGCATTATTTTCATTTGCTGCAATGCAGTTTTTAAACCTTTTTTTTTGCCTTTTTTTCACTTTCTTTTTTTTTCAGTCAGTGTGCATTGCATTTATGCATGGCTACTGCACTTTGAACTGCCTAACTTTAAAAGTGCAATAGATTTCAATATTAATTATTATACTTATAATGTATAACGTTTTTCTATGAGTTTGCTGTATGTTCTTCAAAAATGGAAAATGGTAGGCTTTGTTAGCAAATTGTTCAACTTTTCAGATTTCTAATATTGTTTCTAGATGTTACCAGAAGGGAAAAAGTTTAAATAACTGGGATCAGAATAGGGAGAAAGCACTCCATGTATTGTCACAGATTTTATTGTGAACGGTGACACAACACCCTGACTACCATTCGTGTTAATAGTATTATTACATTTATGTGATGCAGTCATAAAACGTGCAATATGAATTTAATTGGGATGTTAGTGCCTTCCTGTATCCTCCTCTGGTTTGGGCACGGCACCATTCTGTGCAGTCACCTGTTATGATATTGGTTGAGACCTGTTAGGGGGGCTGCAATTTCAAACTTGGACTTTACTGGGCATCTGAATGGGTTTCTTAAGAATTGTGAGGGTGGAGAGAGGGATTCCTGTTGCAGATGTGTGTTATTACATGCTGGTATAAGCAAGTTGGTGTTGAGCCAGTTTTACCCAAGACATATGAGTTTCTGTTGTTGAAATCTGTCCTCAGTAGAAATGTTGAAAAAAACTGTACTTGATAAAGTGATTGCAGCCAAATCTGCCTATTTGGTACTTATCTGGTGTCTGTGATTCCCGCAGACTGCTTTCAGTCAAACAAACAGAAAACCTACTCTGACCTTTATTGTACTCCACACCCTGACATCTGACTTTTCTTCCTCTCCTCCCTCTGCATAGCCATAAACATACTGTATTCTCAACTGTGCAAATGATTAAAGAGACTCTGTCACTAACTTTAAAAATTGCAGAAAAATCAAGTATTTTTTCTTTCCATAAATTATTTTTTATGCATTATGCCTTTTAACTTGCTAAAAAATGTGACTACTCCATGATGAGCCAATCCCCCAGTACCACCCCTCCTCTTCTTCACACTATGACACTTGTGTCTTTTGGAAGTATCTAACTACTCTCTTTGATGGTCCAGCATCTTTGCCCTTCCCTCCATAACCTTTTATGAATCTGCTGGAAGAAGAGAGAAGGGCAATACTATAGAGCAGCCTTTCTCAACTTTTTCAACACAGGGCAGCACAGTGGATAAATGGTTAGAACTTCTGCTTCGCAGTACTAGGGTCGTTGATTCAAATCCCAACCAATGCGCCACCTGCCTGGAGTTTGCATGTTCTCCCTGTGCTTGCGTGGGTTTCCTCCAGGTACTCCAGTTTCCTCTCACATTCCAAAGACATGCTGGTAAGTTAATTGTCTCCTGTCTAAAATTAGTATGTGCATGAATGTGAGTTAGGGACCTTAGATTGTACACCCCCTTGAGGGTTAGGGACTGATGTGAATGTACAATATATATGTAAAAGCACTGTGTAAATTGATGGTGCTATATAAGTACCTGAAATAAAAAATAAATAAATACATTTCCACAATCAGGTAGCATGTAAACTCAAGGGAGTGCTGCCATCATTTTAGTGCAATCAGTACAATCAAAGCCGATCAATGACATAGGTTATTATACTTTGCATTTTTAAAGTACATTTGTGCACAAACTATGGACATTAAAATAGTTTCATGTTCTCAGCAAGCAGTAGACAAGCTGAAAGGAATCTTCTCATTACACAGTAGACAAGCTGAAAGGCACCTTCTCATTACATCCTTACATGAAAGTAAGCAAGTTTACATGAATTGGCTTGCATTATTTTCATTTGCTGCAATGCAGTTTTTTAAACCTTTTTTTTGCATTTTTTTCAGAGTCAGTGTGCATTGCATTTATGCATGGCTACTGCACTTTGAACTGCCTAACTTTAAAAGTGCAATAGATTTCAATATTAATTATTATACTTATAATGTATGAAGTTTTTCTATGAGTTTGCTGTATGTCCTTCAAAAATGGAAAATGGTAGGCTTTGTTAGCAAATTGTTCAACTTTTCAGATTTCTAATATTGTTTCTAGATGTTACCAGAAGGGAAAAAGTTTAAATAACTGGGAACAGAATGGGGAGAAAGCACTCCATGTATTGTCACAGATTTTATTGTGACCGGTGACACAACACCCTGACTACCATTCGTGTTAATAGTATTATTACATTTATGTGATGCAGTCATAAAACGTGCAATAAGAATTTAATTGGGATGTTAGTGCCTTCCTGTATCCTCCTCTGGTTTGGGCATGGCACCATTCTGTGCAGTCACCTGTTATGATATTGGTTGAGACCTGTTAGGGGGGCTGCAATTTCAAACTTGGACTTTACTGGGCATCTGAATGGGTTTCTTAAGAATTGTGAGGGTGGAGAGAAGAATTCCTGTTGCAGATGTGTGTTATTACATGCTGGTATAAGCAAGTTGTTGTTGAGCCAGTTTTACCCAAGACATATGAGTTTCTGTTGTTGAAATCTGTCCTCAGTAGAAATGCTCTGTGTAAATTAATGGTGCTATACAAGTACCATAAATAACACAGAGGAACCATTGAAAAAAACGTCATGGTCTCAGGGAACCCCTGCTAAAAATGACAATATCTATAATTCATGGTTCATTCATGTGATGGTCAATGGCCAGAACCTTTATTACATTTGTGGTCATTGGAAAGAATTACCCTTTTAGAGATAGCTAAAAATAATCAAGGGCAAAAATTGCCCAAGGAACCCCTAGCAGATTCTTACCTAGGGTACCATACAACCCTGGTTGAGAAACCATGTTATAGAGTGTCACTTGGGTGGCAGAAATGGAAACTAATTTGTCATCCATATGTAAAAAAGTTAATAGCAGCATAAGCTATTTTATAGTGCAATGTTTAGTGGCATAAAAACAAACAAAACATTTAGATGTTTAGTGACACTGACATTTTTATTACACCTAGCTGCATCTAAGGGCTCATGTACACTGCAGCTGATAAACTGACGTTTAGGATCTTTTCTGCATTTTTTTTAGCAGTCCCTGAACTCTCCCTAATGTTTTCCTATGTGTCCATGTACACTATGTCGTTTACAGTCGTTTACAGGCAGTTGAGTTTGCAGTCGTTTTTTTTAACGCAACAAACTTGCATGCAGGAGTAGATTTTATCAGCGTTTCAAATGCTTGTAAACGATTGTAAACGCGGCTAACCGCGTTTATAAGCGTTTGCATTTATAAGTGTTTTTTAACTGTTCCATGTCCAGATGCTGTCCAGAGCCTTTTTTCATAGTCAGAAATGCATGCAAAGCGTTTTCCATGTATTCAAATGGACCCGGTACACCAGTGCAGTCAGCTATAGGTTTTGTGTGAAGGAAAAAATGGTAAAACGTGCCGCATTATGTTGGTGATGGGATCCATAGTGAATATAACCTGAAAAGACAGGTAATCTCAACACATACTGATCTCTCTGCTTCTGTTCTCTCTATTTCTCTCAAAATGTCTGAAATAGTTAATTTTTTACTGTTTGGGCATTTTGGAAGGTCTCCTGAAGTTATCTTAAAAAAATGCTTCTAAACGCAAACGCTCATAAACGCGCATAAACGCGGTATGCAAACGCAGCTAAACAGATGTTTTTTAACCTACGTTTTCCAGCAGTCAGTTTCATTTGTTCAGAAGAGTTTTCCAAACATCCTGTGTACATGAACCCTAAAGCAGATATCTCAGGCCTGGCCCTGATTTCATCTTTCATAGTGATTGCTGTTTTTCTTAAATTCATTTGTTCAGGTTCATGACTGATCAGATGGCATCGCATTGTATGGATCTTGGCCTTAAAAAGTAATGCAAAGTCTAAAATAACACAAGAGCAGGCTTTACAGCATGGCTACATATGCATTTCCTTCTCAACTGCTTCTGTGCCCCCTGGGAGCCTCCAAACTGAACTCTGAGCTTTGAAAGGAGATCATAGAAATAATTCTGACATGACTGCATAGAATTCAAGAATATAATGCTTGCACTCCTGCACTAATCACTAAAGCACATGTACAGCATTGTGGGATGCTGGACATTTAGGGGGATGTTTGGCTGAGTTTTAGCTCTAGCGGAAGTTTTTTAAAGTGTATGTTACCACAACATTTCATATTCTTGATGTGTGTCTGTTGTACCATGTGTTATACATGAAAAGGTATCCTGTTCTCTTTGCATTGCTTCCTTTGTGTAAACATACCTGGTGATCCAGTCAGTCCCCCTGTTTTTCTATTTGAAACTGACCACACTAGTCATAGAAGAACATCCATCCCAGCCTGGTCAGTTTTCTTCTTTGCATTCTACTTGGGAGTGCAGTCTATCTGCACTCCAGTGGTCAGACTTCTGCTGATATACCCCCTGAACAGCCCATCACTGGGAAGATCAGTGTTTTTGCAGTTCCGGGTAGGGGCCTTGGCTGTCAATCACCGGGTCCTGGCCGGTGATTAGTCGCCAGCACACGGTGATCGCCAAATATGTCCGACGGGGGAGAGACTTGTGTATAAACAACATAGATCTCTCCCCTGTCAGCTCCTGCACACTGCTTTGTATGGCTCTGCATAGCAGAGCCATACAAAGCAGTGTGATTACAGTGAAGCACACACACAGCTTCCATAGTGAAACAGCACACAGTTAACCCTTTGATCGCCCCAGATGTTAACCCCTTCATTCCCAGCGCCATTAGTACAGTTTTGCCCAGTTTTCAGTATTTTTTTATGCTGAGCATTTCCTCCTTGATCACATCTGAGCAGCTCATGTGACTATAGAGTCACACATGTGGGCGTATACACAGTGGTAAATGACATTCCTCTTCCTCCTTCCTTCTCCATGCCCACTAACCAGCTAAACACAATGGGGGTTGGATATTACATCTTGATTGATGGAGGCTTTCTCCTCTCATTCTAAAACACAGGTTGAAGGGGCATGACAGCCTGTGACTGGCAGAAATCCGCCAACAGAACATTATTGCCAAAAGTAACAAAGATTTTATTACAAATATATATTTGTATGATGATTTAAAACAGCTTATTGATACTATTTATTTTATGTATCCCAAAGGCTGCTTTTTTATTTTTTTTTATTTTTAACATGTAACCAGCAGCAGGGAACTAGAAGCTCCTCCTGCCACTGGGAAGAGATGGTTCATGTGACAGTTGTGTATTGATTTGGAAAAAAAGTACTTAGATTTTTTTAAATTAAAATAATTACAGTGCCACAGGGGTGGACTGACAACTCATGGGGCCCCAAGGCAATAGGAAATCATGGGACCCCTGTGTCATCGCCCACACTCAAACCACACCCAAAAAAGCCTATGAAAGTTACTAAAAGCATCTCATGGGGCCCCCTATTGACCCTGGGCCCTCGGGAAGTGCCCGAGTGCCTAAATGGTCAGTCTGCCCTTGCAGTGCCATCATCCACATACAGAAAGAGAAGGGATAATGTAAATTAAACAGTGTGTGTTTAGTATCACTTTAACTGTATCTGAGCACCACAAACTGAAATCACTATTTAATTTGTTTTATTATTCAAAGTAAACTCACCCATCCATCCAGCCATGTCGCCATGCTTTATTTTGTTGAGAAGCACACCCCTAGGATTCTAGCAGTGGTCATCTTGAGTAAGGGCAAATGATTCAGGTAGCAATTACTTTATTGAATCCATCTACCCTTAGCTCAAGCAAGCAGGAGGATGCACTTAACTGAAAAAGCCCCTCCACCCCTCCTCCAGATGAAAGAAAAAAAAAGCCCATGAAGATTCATATGATATATTACATAATTTGGCCTAGGCCAGAAACTAGAAAGCAACTGAAGAAATAAAAAAAATGAAAACAAGTAATATGATATACATATATAATATACATTCCAATCTATTTACTAATGTTAGCAGCATAAGTATTAAAATAGGTAATGTTGATTGTGAGTGTTTAGTTATGCTTTAAAGGCCAAAGACTAATGACAACTTAATACTCATTGCTACAGCATTGCGTGTCCAAAAATGGTGAAAGCTAAGCGGTAGTTTTTATGTGCAAACAATTACTTCTATTTTTTGACAAAATGATTTTTGTTTAGAGCTGCGATTTGAAATGGATGGCTAAATGTCTAAAGATAGTTAGGTAATGTGGGACTGAGTGATGCATTGATTTTGGACTGTAAAATAAGACTGTGAATCCTTGTGTCTAGCGAGGACATTGAACTCAGCATTGCTCAAATAGCTTGAAAGGCTGGGGGTTCAGTTCAGTATAAGGAGTGGAGTGATGCACCAATGAAGAAAAATGGCTGATATACAGTATGTTTATATGTATGATATATTATGAAATGTTGGCATAGTGACTTAAACAGATGAAATATAGATTCTATGGAACTTTATTATTGAAAATTATTTAATTGATATGAGGAACTCGTGTTTACCAATGATTAGTGTATAAGAGATATGCTAGTTAAGACCCCCAACACCTCTCTCTCTCTCTCTCTCTCTCACACATACCCCCTTAACATACCAGTAAAGTAAAACCAAAACACCATTGAAGTAAAATGGCCAACATGGCCATTTATTAACAATTCAACTTTAATACACAAAAACATTCCTTAAAACTGAAACATACAGAAGTTGCTGGTCTTTGAAGGCACCAAACAAAACTGATATCCCCTGCGGAACCTATATTATAACTAGGCCTCCAGCCGCAACGCACCGGCTTGGAGACAAAACATACCATCCGCAGTGCAGAACCCACCTTCCAGTTAAACCTTGGTTAATCAGAATGCACCCAGGCACACCATACCACCGATGGATCCCAACCATTAGCTTTAGCTTAAAAGTATGTGCTGCCTCCAAAGACCAATAACCACCCCCCCGGAGCCAGAACAAACTGAGAATCGAAAAAAACACCCAGAGAAACCCCCAGGGAGGTTGGGAGGGAGGCTTGCTCCACCACTGCCATCTCCTGGACTGAATAGGACGACCCCCCACAACCACACCCAATAGTGCCAAAGACCCCACATTGCACACCTGTCACCAATCAGGTAACCTGCCCATTTTCTAACTCCTACCTACTTTTCTCTTAACCCTTTTCTGTCCTTCCTACCCCCCTCTTAACCTAGTCATGCCTGCCCTGCGCTATTTTCTTTTTATTGCTTTTTGCGATTGGCATCCCTTAGAAGGAAGAAAAACATTTGAATTTTGCTTATGCCATGTAATACATTGGTGTTTTGGTGGTGGTAGTTTGGCAGAAGTATCTTTTGGAGGGTATTCTATGTGACCTTTTTATCGGCTTCAATGTCTCCTATTTTTGTTTCTTCTTTTTCTTATTAAAAAGCCCAGAAAGCTCTATCAACACAAAGTCATACAATCACAATTTATTTTCTCTTTAATGATACTTTTTGAGGAAGCATTTTTTAATTCTGAGACTAGTTTGCAAGCCGGTTCTACCAGTTTATTTTTAAACTGCAGTGCACACAAATTCAGTTTTATTTCATCATTTAAAAACATGTTTTCCTTTATTTTTCTTAAATTGAACTTATTTTTTGTACAAAAGAAAGAAAGGAAACTGCCACGAGGGTATACCTAACCTTGTAGGGAAAAGTTTTTTTTTGTGTTTTCTTAAAATACTCATAGCTCATTTAGTGTGAAACTCCCTGTTATGTTATACTAGCATAGGTTGTTGCATTTATTTATTTATATGTACTTTATTTATATGTACTTGTTGCTTTATTAAAAAATTATTTTTTCCTAAACAAAGGGAAATTGGAACTGTTTATGAAGCTGACCTTTCTGGGAACATTTAAACAAAGTGCAATGCCTAAATGTAAATCCAGTAACCTACATTAGCCAATCACATATCAGTTAACTGCAGACAGATCATAGAAAAATAAATAATTCTGATGGATTGCTATGGGTTATTGTACTTTTTACAGAGACAATGGAAATAAGTGCAACTCCATATGCTTTCATTCCCAGCACTTATTGAAGGGAAATGTATGTTCCTCGCCCTACATTCTGTTTATTTTTATACATACTAAATTTTGCTTCTCTATTTTATATTTTGTCTAGATAATCAAATGTATAGTTGTGTGTGTGTCAGTTACGTGCCATAGAACTGCAGCCACTCATCATTTAAATCTAGCTTTGCTCAAGGCATTAAAAGTGACCAATTATTTCTTTGTACTAACAGCACCTGCTTCTGCTATGATATAATTAAAAGTTAACCACTTTTGTTTTAAGGGAAAATACTGTTGGTTTCTTGTAATTTATTCAAGATCTGTGCGATATGAATTGTAATTGATTCAGGATCTGTGCGATATGAATTGTTACATATGTCACGTACATAGCCTTAACAAATTACTCAGTGAAATTCCATTCCATGTTCTCCTGTTACAACTCACTGTATATAAGGAGGAAATTGTTAATAAAAAATAGGATTGCTCTCTGGAAGACCTGGCGTGCATGTGTATTTTTCTTTCTCCCAGGGAGCAACCTCATGGATCCAACGGGGCCTAAACCTATCAGTGGTCGATAAAGAAAAATCCCAGCTGCATTGGTTTTCTTTTTAGTTAGGTTTTTTTCCTTTATTTTCACTTGGTGATCCAGCCAGTAAGTTTGTTATTTTTCAACTTGCTTTCCCAGACAAAGTAGCAATTAGAGGGTTGAGACAAACCATTTAACACTGACAGGGGTGCTTACAATGGTGCTTAAAAATGTTAGCTTTAAAGAGTTCATCATTAAATTAATAGTCAAGTTTATTTAAATCTAATAGTCTAACACTCTCCTCCTCTCAGATTACCAAAGTGCATCTAGCAGTGATCATAATAGGTAATCGCTGGCTGTGCAGACAGCTGCGATTACCTGTGGCCACTAGCATCCTGTTATTATAATCAGTGGTGTATTTAGGTTTTGTGCTGCCCTAGGCAACACAAAAATCAGACGTTCCCCCCACTTCCCAGTGGAGAGAGCCTGACACCGACCAACAACCGCCCCCCCCTGGAGAGAGCCTGACAGTGACCAACAACACCCCTGCCCCATCCCTCCCCCACCTGAGAGAGCGTTTTGACTAACAGCCCCCCAGGCAGAAGAATGACACTCACCATCACAGCTCTGGACATCCCCAGGAATGACAATCGGGCTCTGCATACACCATAAAGCAGCTCGCTTCCTCTCTTGCATCCAACCTGGTCCCCATGCCACATATGTCCCTTCCTCCAGGGAACAGTGCTGCCCCTCCAAAAAATGCCACCCTAGGCAAATGCCTTGTTTGCCTTCTGGTAAATATGCCCCTGATTATAATGAATGGGGCTGGCAGCTGCACCTAGCCACCGAGGGCTGCAGCAGGAATCTCTGATTCCTAACACTAAAATTTGCACCAGCCCTAATCGCCAATGTGAATGTAGCCATACTGGCTGGATCACCAGGAGAAATATAGGGGAAAAAAAGACTGGAAATAGAAAACGAATGCAGTTACCACATCTAAAGATTGTTAAGCTGCAATATATTACATGTTTGTTTTTTGGAATAATACTGCTTTTTTTAAGCTATAACAGAAAGGTGTCATTGCTAGACTCTGGTACCCATGCTCCCAGGTTTCGGCCTTTAACTGCCACCAACCAAAAAACATTCTCCTCCATAAGGATGCGTAGACTGGGAGCATTCTTACCAGCAATGCCCATTCTCCTGCATTGAAAAACCAATCTAAAGCCAACAAGGAATAGGCAAGTAATGTAAACCAGCACTAAGTTTCTG